CATGTCACTTCACAAGTCAAATGATAGATTATTGTATACTGATTCCAAAAATATATGGTTTCTATACACTTTTGTTTGAAATAATGGAGATAATATGTTACTTCCGGTTTGAAAAATGTAATATCCGTTATTACTTGATAGTTTATTTGACACTGATTCCAAAAATATCTGGTTCAATATACTTTTACATTAAATAATTATATATATATATGTCATATATAAGAACAAAAAATAGCTACTTCCGGTTTACGTAAGGCCATTTCCGGTTGGAATTTTCAAGGTCATATTGCTTGCAACCTAATGCAAAAGTCCCATTGCTTTATCATGTATAAATATGAAGTTAAAGCAAAGCTCAAAATCTAGAACGTCAAATTCAACTTTGACCTTGACCTCAATTTCAAGGTTATAAACGAAGAACATGAAATCAAAAGACCCTAGGTCTTTATTATATTTGGTTAATGAGTTATATCACCATACGCGTAGTTTTAAATATCATAGGGGAGAAAACTCCCATTTAATGTCAGCGTAACCTTTCAACCAAAATGTATGTGTTACGACATGTCGCAACTAACAATTTAGTAAAAATATGTTGTCGATATCTTATACGGTTTTTAAAAAGAAGTGAAAATAAGCCAAATCAAAATTTAGAGTATGACCTTGACCTTTTACCAAGGACCTCATATCAAAAGACCCTAGGTCTGTATCACTAATGGTTTACCAGTTAGAAATGCATATCACTTATATCAAATTCAAAAGGGGAAATAACTGTCATATGGAGTCTACGAATTGATTCGGTTAAAATTGACAAATCATCCATAGGATATACCGAGCAATTTAGTAAAATAAATTTGTGGCTTTCTTTTACGGTTACGGAGGAGATCTCGGAACAATGAAAGTCAAAATAAAAACATGACCTTGACCTTTGACCTTGACCTCAAATTTATTTTTATGAACCGAGGACCTCAAATACACGTACCTTAGGTCTGTATTACTTACCATTCATGTGATACATTGACATATCACTTATTTCAAATTCAAAAGGGGAAATAACTGTCATATAGAATTCTACGAATTGATTCTGTTAAATTTGACAAATCATCTTTAGGATATAACGAGCAATTTAGTAAAATAAATTTGTCGCTTTCTTTTACGGTTACGGAGTAGATCTCACCACATATGATAAAAATCATATATTTAATTTATGTTGAAATGAAACACAGGTTAATTTTATCCATAATATTTTCTGTGCAAAGGGAAATAACTCAAACTGGATAAATAGTTCTCTAAAATAAGATATGATGCAATTTTTCAAATTATAATCTATAATATAATAAAAACAACCAGTGATGACTAAGTTCTCTAAAATTAGATATGATTTAACACTCAAACATTGTTAGAATCAGCACATCAAAGAACCAAAGAATTCAATTTTTGATGAAATTAAACAAAAGTTTAATTTAGGACCCTTTGGACCTCAATGTGGTATTATCTTAATAATAATGAAAAGAAATACAGGTTTAGATTAAGCATTTCAAAGAACCCTATATATATTCAATTTATGTTGAAATCAAACACAGTTTAATTTTGGACCCCGATTTGGACCAACTTGAAAACTGGGCCCAAAATCAGAAATCTAAATATATGTTTATTAATAGACAATATAAGCTTAGTTTTTAATGGAGTTCACTTCATAAAAAAAAAATATAGCATTCAGAAAATTAGTTTTTAAAAGAATAACAAACAAACTTGCCACAAAATTCTTCAAACAATTTATCAAAGAAAAGAGGAAAAAAATCCAAAATTTTATTTATCATTAATACAATGTTTTTTCAAAATCTATAAAACTCAGTAACAAGAAATAATTGTAACATGATGCTGTTACGATGTCTCGCAAACAAAGCTCCAATAATTCGTCATTCCCATGGTCGCCTGACATTGGGCAAAGTCCAGTACAAATTGGTTTGTGATATGCATAAGTGACGCCTACGGATTGACCCTGTATGTCATTCAAATCTTCTTGAAATTACGAACAGGAATACATATGGATTAGGGGTGGAGATCTCGACCGTTTACAAGTTCTCAAAAGGGGGGGGGGGGTCCCCAGGGGACTTACCCTTTATTTCATATGATTTGTTTTTTTTTGTGCCATACAAGAATATACTGTAAACCGGGAAATTTTCGCGCCGTCTTTATTTCGCGATTTATTAACAAAATCTAATTTCGCGCCGTTTTGAATTCGCGATATCCCAGTGGCCTATATAAATATTTTCATCAATGCTTCTGAAAGTGAACAGCTTAACATGTGGACTTGCTACAATTTCCTTTCTTTTATTTCTTTCTTACTAATTTTTATGTTTACTGAAAACTGCCAGTATACTGATTGCCCTCGGAGAAAAGCAGGTGTCAGTATAATTGAAATCTATTAGTTAATGCCGTAAAATTATTAAAGGGGTAAAATTGAAAGATAACTAGGAAGAGACATGTAGCAAGTCTACGTTACAAGTATCGTAAATCAAGTGATAAAATCAATCAGAAATCTTTTGTTTTCGGTTCATTAATGTTAAAGGAGATTAAAAGTTGTGTTATATTTGCTTGTAAAAACACATACACAATAAACAGTAAAGAAGACCTAATTAAGAACGACTTAAATGCTGTCAGGATTAATGCTAATTAATCGATCTTTTAATCTGATTAATCTGTGTAGCAGATACAATGAGGTAATGATTTTAGAACTGATTGACAGGTGTCATTTACATATCTGTAGCTAGTGTTGTTTACAAAACAATATCCGTATTGTCCGATTGCATTGGATGTCTTCCATGTTTTAAAAGATTAACTTGAGTAAAAAGTCAGGATTTCTATCATTGCTTTTCATTTAGAAATATAGTTATGATTTGAGGAATAGATCTGTCGTATTTAAACTCGGTGTTATACAGTGGTCCAATACATATCCGATTCATATATGTACATGAATGGTTTTCATCTTATGAATAGAGTTTCCTTGAAATTTTCGCGATCGTTTTATTTTCGCGTTTCAATTCTTACCGCGAAAATAGCGAAAATAAAACTGCCGCGAAAATTTCCCGGTTTACAGTTTATGGTTTAGAGGTGGGGACCTCAAGTTCTTAAACAGGAGGGGGGTGGGGGTGACCCCAGGGGACTCGCCTTATATTTCATTTGAATTATTTTATTGTCCCATACAAGAATATATATGGTTTCGAGATGGGGATTTTGACCGTTTACAAGTTTTCAAAAAGAAGAGGGGTGGGGGTTACCCATGGGACTTCCACTCAATTTCATTTGATTTGTTTTATTGTCCCATTCAAGAATATATATGGTTTAGGGGTGGGGATCTCGACCGTTTACAAGTTATAAAAAAGAGGGGTTGGGGGTGGCGGTTACCCCCATAGACTTCCCCTATATTTCATTTGATTTGTTTTATTGTCCCATACAAGATTATATAATGGTTTAGGGGTGGGGATCTCGACCGTTTACAAGTTCCCCAACAGGAGGGGGTGGGGATGACCCCAGGGGATTCGCCTTTTATTTCATTTGATTTCTTTTATTGTACAATACAAGAATATATATGGTTTCGGGGTGGAGATCTTGACCGTTTACAAGTTTTCAAAAAGAAGGGGGGTGGGGGTGACACCCTGGACTTCCCCTATATTTCATTTGATTTGTGTTATTGTCCCATACAAGAATATATATGGTTTAGGGGTGAGAATCTCGACCGTTTACAAGTTCTTAAACAGGAGGGAGTTGGGGGTGACCCAAGGGGACTCGCCTTATATTTCATTTGATTTGTTTTATTGTCCCATACAAGAATATATATAGTTTAGGGTTGGGATCTTGACCGTTTACAAGTTTTCAAAAAAAAGGGGGGTAGGGGTGAACCCGGGGACTCCCCCAATATTTCATTTGATTTGTTTTATTGTCCCATACAAGAATATATATGGTGTAGGGGTGGGGATCTCGACCGTTTACAAGATAAAAGCACATTCTCATATAGAAAGGGGGTGGGGGTAAGAATATATATGGTTTAGGGAGACTTAATTATCTTCAAAATGTCTAATAATGAACAGTAAATACCAAACTTCATTTATACAGTCCTACTAGTAAATTTCAAACTTTATGTATACAGTCCTACAGATCTTATCATAAAACAGAAAATTTTCAAATAAATCTGTCACTCCAATGATTATAATATGCTAAGATATAACCCAGATCTTATTAATAATTAATAATGTAATTAACTTCAAAATGTCTAATAATATAGCTTATAATCATCACCACTTAGGAAATAGATAATTTTCAAATAAATCTGTCAGTCCAATTTTTATTGTGAGATAAGACATTATGTTTAGTCATAAAATGATAACAAGAGAAAAATATTTTAAAATTCCACTTTTGGATATTAAAAATGGCGATAACTCAAAAAGGAGAAATACTAAAATCTTGAAAATTGAACTTGACCTTCATTAAGTCCCAGGAAACAACATATTTAAATTTGAAAAAAAAACATTGTTAAAGCGTTTTCATGTTATTGTGCAGACAGTTTGGCAGCCACCCGTCAGCCCGCCCTGCCGCCCGCCGTACATCCCCATTTTAATAACCGATATTTCCTTCGAAAATCCGGTTAAAAATCTAAGCGACATCTTGCGAAACCACAAGTTTTGAAATTTGGCGGAAGAAGAAAAAAAAATAATCAGAACAAATACAATAGGTCTTTCCACAAAATAGTGAAAAGACCTACTTATAATGGCCCCAAAAATCACGAAAGATACCAAAGAGGCATTCAAACTCATAAGTAAAAAATAAACTGACAACGCCATGGAAAAAACGAAAAAGATAAACAACAGCATACAAAACACAACATACAAAATAAAGACTGGGCAACATGAACCCAGCAGAAACAGGGGGTTACATCAGGAGATCCGGAAGGGTAAGCAGGTCATGAAATTAAAACATGAAATAACTTTGAACAAAATCAGATAACACAAATTAAAATAATTCATTAAAAAGCATGTTAGTAATCCAGATCAACAAAATGTTAAATAAGGTCAACCTAAATAAGGTAAGTCGAATTCTGGAAAAGTAAACCTTCATTTCTAATCATTTCACATCATACAAAAACGCTTCATCAGATCGATTTGCAACTAGCAATTCATTGGTAGATATGTCATAATGCAGAGCCCATGGGGCGCTCGGTCCATCTTCACTTGATAAGAGTTGTCTGTAGCGTTGTCCATCGGGAGAGATAGCGACCACATTGTTAGTACCATACCCCGCTACAAACACGTGACCATCATTGTCTACAGATATACCTAATGGAGTCAGCAGAACACTATGTTCACAGAACGTCCACAGTATGTTACCATGGTAGTCACAACAGGTTACACTGTCATTGGTATTGTTTGTATAGAACAGTTTGTCACCGAATGCTGTAACGTACGCATCATCTGGGAGTTTGGTATTGGTAATATTGGTAATGGTTTCGTCATTCAGACTGATCATCTGGATTCCTTTCTCCCCGGCACAATAAATCAAATGTCCATCTTTGTATACTACTCCACCATTGTTTGAATTTACTTTTATCGATTTCTTCAGTTTTTGCTTCTTTAAGTTGATTATATTAATCTGATTTGAATTGCCGGATGTTACAGCAATATGATCATCACCAATAAATACCACATCAGACGTTCGACGAATTGTCTTTATTTCGAAATCTTTTGATCCGTCAGACTTGAGTACTCTTATTTTATCGTTACTATAAGTACAAGAGGAGAATACCATCCTATAACCAGGAAGTAGTGAACAACCATTGACTTCTGATAACTCTGTATTGATACGTTTCTGTAATGTTAGAGTCAGATTTTCGATATTTCTGGTTGGAAGAGCTACCATAATCTGGGCTTGTCTGTCCTTCCGTTTCTGAATGGAAAAATCACATGGATCAGAACTGACATTAATTTCTCCAAACTTCTGTACGCTGGCTGCGATTTGCTGTAAATATTTGTTAATCTGACATGAAATATTGACTTGATTTGTGTAGTCACTTGTGGTAATCGATTGAATAAATTTTTCTTCGACTGCAATATCTTTTTCGATATCTTTCATGGTTAAAAATGTCTGAAGTTCTGACGCATGCTGTTTAATACTAGAAATATTTTCTTGTACTTCAGTGATCTCTTTTTCCTTCGTTTTCAGAGTAGACAACAATTTTTCTATTTTGCTTTTCTCTCCTTGTTCAACAGTCATTAATTCTTTAATCAGGACATCCTGAAGTTTATCAAGGTGATGATTAACATTTATCCTTGTTTGTTTTATTTCTGCTTCAATTTCTCTTTTCTTGTTTTTCAGAGATTTTAAATTTTCATTCCTGTTAGTGCTGAGTCGTTTTATATTATCGACGACTTCCAGCAGGGTTTGTTGTATTTCATTAAAGGCATTTGAAGTTTTGACGTTTTTTATGATTTCATTAATGTCGGTTAAACCTTTACAATCGTTGTGAGATTTTACACATTTCTTACAGCATGGACAATCGTGTTTTCTACAGAACAGCTCGTATTTCTCATTATGAAGTTTGCATGTCTGAGAGGTTTGCAGGACCTCGGTCGGTAACATTTTGTATTCGGCGATAGAAACGGTTTCATGGCTTTTTGATGCCTTAGAAACAGCGTGATGATTCTTACACTCTCCACAAAGTCCTTCGTCACATTCGGGACACCATACTACTGAATGTTTGGTAATCTGAAGATTATCACAAACACCACAGATACTCCAATTGGTGGCCATAATCTTAAAATAGATTGAATTTACTTAAATGAATACTTTATTATATTCAAATCGATATCTTAAAATTATAACTTTACCGAGAGATTCTCGTGAATTAGAGAGTTTGACATTTGTCTACTTTTCATCGAGCGGCAAATATAAATAGTACATGCGCGTGATAAGTAGGTTATGTAATGTGGATGTATTTCTACATCCTTTTTTTTAACCATTTCACTCTATTCTCATTTTTCTGTCTATTGTTTTCTATTATTCATCATGTTTACTATTCGTCACCCCTTTTTTCTGTTTTCTACATTTATCTGTCTCGTTTTGTACTTCTTCTAATCTTTACTTGTTTGCCTATTATTCTTTAATCTGTAAACGCCTTTCATACCCTCATACATGGTAACCCATTCATACTCTTATATATGGTAACCCTTTCATACCCTTATACATCGTAATCCATTCATACCCTCATACATGGTAACCAATGCATACCCTTATACATGATGACCCATTCATACCCTTATACATGGTAACCTATTCAAATCCTCATACATGGTAACCCATTCATACCCTCATACATGGTAACATATTCATACCCTAATACATAGTAACCCATTCATACCCGAATACATGGTAACCTATTCTTACCCTTATACATGGTAACCCATTCATACCCTTATACATGATAACCCATTTATACCCTCATACTTGGTAACCTATTCATACCCTTATAAATGCTAACCTATTCATACCCTTATACATGGTAACCCAAATTATACCCTCATACATGGTACATGTAACCTATTCATATCCTTATGCATGGTATCCTTTTCATCCCCTTATACATGGTAACCCATTTGTACCCTCATACATGGTAACCAATTCATACCCTCATACATGCTAACCTATTCATACCCTTATACATGGTAACCTATTCATACCCTCATACATAGTAACCCATTCATACCCTTATACATGGTAACCCATTCATACCCTCATACATTTGTACATGGTAACCTATTCATACCCTTATACATGGTAACCTATTCATACCCTCATACATGGTAACCAATTCATACCCTTATACATGGTAACCTATTCATACCCTCATACATGGTAACCAATTCATACCCTTATACATGGTAACCCAATCATACCCTCATATATTTGTACATGGTAAACTATTTATACCCTTATACATGGTTACCCATTCATACCCTCATACATGGTAACCAATTCATACCCTTATACATGGTAACCTATTCATACCCTTATACATGGTAACCCATTCATACCCCTATACATGGTAACTCAATCATACCCTCTTACATTTGTACATGGTAAACTATTCATACCCTTATACATGGTTACCCATTCATACCCTCTTACATGGTAACCCATTCATACCCTTATTTATGGTAACCCAATCATACCCTCATACATTTGTACATGGTTAACTATTCATACCCTTATACATGGTTACCCATTCATACCCTCATACATGGTAACCAATTCATACCCTTATACATGGTAACCTATTCATACCTTTATACACGGTAACCCATTCGTTCCCTCATACATGGTAACCTATTCATACCCTCATACATGGTAACCAATTCATACCTCATACATGGTAACTTATTCATACCCTCATACATGGTAACCCATCCATACCCTCAAACATGGTAACCTATTCATACTCTTATACATGGTAACCCATTCATACCCTCATATATGGTAACTAATTCATACTCTTTTACATGGTAACCTATTCATACCCTCATACATGGTAACCCATTCATACCCTTATACATGGTAACCTATTCATACCCTTATACAAGGTAACCTTTTTATACCCTTATACATGGTAACCTATTCATACCCTCATACATGGTAACCCATTCATACCTTTATACATGGTAACCCATTCATACCGTCATACATCGTAACCAATTCATACCCTTATACATGGTAACCTATCCATACCCTCATACATGGTAACCCATTCATACCCTTATACATGGTAACCCAATCATACCCTCATACATTTGTACATGGTAAACTATTCATACCCTTATACATGGTTACCCATTCATACCCTCATACATGGTAACCAATTCATACCCTTATACATGGTGCTTTTTTTGTTATTTAATGTTAACATGGATCTTGTCTATATACCAGCTTTGATTATTTGGTATTACTACAAATTTTCACTTCTTCGTACTATGAACATCAAAATTATTTCATTTGTCCTTAGATGCTGTTCTTGGACCTGTACAGGAAGTTTTATCTAGCACTAATTGTATAGTTCTATTGTTGATATTCACCCCATATGTACCAACTGTTAGATTAGTTTTATTGAAATTAAAGAAATTTCTTGGTATTTCAAAAAAGATTTTATACACACAGAAGAAGTATACTTAACAACAAAATTATTTTCATTTACCTGTGTATAATATGACGCAGGTTTCTTCAAAAGTGATGATTTTCTAAAAATTGTTTGACATTTCACAGTGATATCATACTTTAACTTTGTTTAAACCTGTTTATTTACTTTTGACTTTAATTATTTATCCCTTGTAATTTTTTATTAACTGTGTATTTGCATTCAGGTGTCACAGGTCAAATTTATTCGTTCATTGTGTGTTAATTTACGTTTTTTGATTGAGTTAAGCCTTCCAATTAATATTTTATAGTGTGTTATTCTATGTTGTGATGTTATACTATTGTTTCAGAAAAGGGAGAAGGTTTTGTACCATTAAAACGTTTAATCTCGCTGCAAATGTTTGCACCTGTCCTAAGTCAGGAATCTGATTACAGTAGTTGTCGTCTGTTTATGTAGTTCATACGTGTTTCTCGTTTCTCGTTTTTATATAGATTAAACCGTTGGTTTTTCCGTTTAAATGGTTTTACACTAGTAATTTTTTGGAGCCCTTTATAGCTTGCTGTTCGGTGTGAGCAAATGCTCCGTGTTGAAGGCCGTACCTTGACCTATAATGGTTTACTTTTATAAATTGTAACTTGGACGGAGAGTTGTCTCATTGGCACTCATACCACATCTTCCTATATCTATCTTATAAATGGTAACCTATTCATACCCTTATACATGGTAACCCATTCATACCCTTATACATGGTAATTGAAACAGACATAATATATTACTGTAGTATGTTGTGAAGTAGGTCTTATAAAGGTACAATATCATTTTATTAATGATTATATATAAGGCACTGATCCTTCTGCCGGCAATATAGCCACTGCCTATATTTTTTGGTTGTGTTGTGTTTTTTTAGGGGGGGGGAGGGGAGGGGGGGGGGGGGGCAAGTGATGTAAAACAAATTGTGTGTTCATTGAAAATAAGGGAAACACATTTTGTTAAAAAGACATATTCCATATATTCTTGCCACTGAACATCTTTTTGTAGCTATTCTTTAAAGACCGATTTAAGTTGGTCATTTCTTTCTTGGTTTTTATATTATTTTACATGTCAATCTATCTTAATCCTGCATTATTGTATTATAAAACCAATAAAAAATATTTGTATTCCAATCAGCATGTACATGCAGTTTACATAATAGACATTACACATAGATGTATGTCAATACTTACACATCCGTCGATAAATTACGCATGTTGAAGCTGGGGTTAATTAACCACGGGTGTCATTCGGTATATCGAGAAAAAAAGATTGTGAAAGAATACCTAACGGTGGTCAAGTATAACGATTGGATCGTGAAAGCTCTGGTATAGGATCGTGAAGGAAATCTTATCGAGAAGACATATGCAAGGTCAATTACTAATCTAATTTAATGAATTATACGGACATATTTACAAAAAAAATAAACTGTCTGTCAAAATAGTTCAACATTATGATCAGTATCTGAGAAAATCAAGGTTTAAAAGTAAACGGTTTTTACAAAACTACAAAAGGCGGAATGCTCCTCGACATTTCAATGACGTTAAATATGTAAACAAACAAGATTTTTTTCATAATTTGAATGACTAAACAACTGGGTGAGTGGGGTATAAATCACTGCAAGTTTTGTTATCCGACATCGATTTTCGGATTGAAAAATACGAATTCAAGTTCGTCACTATAGACCAGCGGTAGAAGCATAAAACCTATAATTTAATGCACCCACCGAACACACGGCTAAATTATATATCATTGAAACGAAAAAAATCTAAATTTTCAGATTAATGATGCCGTAAGCCTGAAAAGTGGTCGGATTTATGCATAATTGAGGTCAATAACGTCATTTTTTTTACGTTAGAATTTACGTTTGTTATTAGATAAGACATTTTGTTTATTTATGACTTCATTTTGTTTCCGTACAAGGATGACCTTGAATTTTGGTAATACATTTTTTTCATAGAAATGAAGTCTTAACACGACTTGTTACTTTGCAAAACTTTAAAGTCAAGTAAAGGAGGGATTAAAATTAAGTTCATTGATTTCCGTTCCACTGGTTATTTTAGTAAATTTTTGACATTTTTATTTCAGACAAAAGCTGTCTATAAAATTTTAGTTGTACAATCAAAATGTATCTATATAAGGTTAATGAAATATATTTGCATCATATCAACGTTTTTGACGTTTTTTGACGTTCCGAATGTCCCTATCATTCTATCATAAGAAACGGAAATAGCTTTTGTGTCAAACTAACATAAACGCATTAATAACAGAAAAAATTGGACAATAACTGAAGGCAAAATACGTTTTATAAAGTCATTAGCATGTTTAAGACGTAAATAGGTCAGATAATCAAGCATCATCATCATCATCATCATCAACATCTGTTAGGTGTGTATTGATATTTTTACAA